ATCCCCTGCCGCTTCTTGAGGGTTAACCAAGAAGCAGGGGGATGCTGGCCAGTGATGCTCTTCCTGGAGTTGTGGGAGAATGATGGAATGAATGGACACAGGCAATCAACAGGGACGGGCTCTGGGGGAGATTGATGAGGAGGATCAGCCGGCAGGGTGACTCCGCGGCGCCTCTCTGCTTCCACCTCGATAGCGGCCTGGTCGGGCCTCTCATAGGTAATAACGGCCGCACTCCCACCCCTCGGGCGCTCGGCCCGCTGAGGTACGCGGGGGCGGGGGAGGAGAAGAGGAGCCGGCCGCGGAGAGGTTCGTGCTTGCGAGCTCCTACCCCTCCCTCTGTGCCCCGAGGAGGTGCCTTCTGCAGGGAAGAGTGGAGCTCTCCCACTCACCAGGGTGGCTGAGCTTTTCCTCCTCGAAGTGGTTGGCTTGGTATCTGCTCCTCACAGCTGGCAGTGTAAGCTCCTCTCCCCTCTTCTGGAGGAAGAGCGGCTCTCTCCTGAGGTGGTTTTGCTGCTCCATCTCTTGAACTGAGGCGCTTTCACACACAACCCCCATGCACCTCACGTAAGTTACCTGCATTTCCAGCAATTTGATGTCACAGGTTATTTTACTTATGAATGCATGCGCTCCTGTGAAGGTCTCAGGGTTTGGTCACAACCAAAATGCTAAGCATTTACCATGTGTAGTTTCTGGCAGTTTGGCCTAAATCTCTGTAACACCTGCAGTGTATCCTTACTACAGGCCGGGCTGGAAGTAAAATGAGAGCTTGAGGATTCTCCAGGTTCCAGGATAAAGGTACCATGTGCTGTGTGTCATTAAGGCCTGGACTGTGTTGTGAGCGTGGTTGGTTTTGGTTCTATGTAAACCACAGTTAATGCAGCAACATGTGTGCTGCAAAATGGAGGATAAAGGTACCATGTACTGTGTGTCATTAAGGCCTTGACTGTGTTGTGAGCGTGGTTGGTTTTGGTTCTGTGTGTGTGCTGCAAACGTGTGCTGCAAAATGAGAGCCTGGTTCCAGGATAAAGGTACTGTGTGTGTGTCATTAAGGCCTGGACTGTGTTGTGAGCGTGGTTGGTTTTGGTTCTATGTAAACCACAGTTAATGCAGCAACATGTGTGCTGCAAACGTGTGCTGCAAAATGAGAGCTTGAAGATTCTCCAGGTTCCAGGATAAAGGTACCATGTGCTGTGTGTCATTAAGGCCTTGACTGTGTTGTGAGCGTGGTTGGTTTTGGTTCTATGTAAACCACAGTTAATGCAGCAACATGTGTGCTGCAATAGCTGTAATAATTCTACTGTTTTACAAGAATTGGTGAAAATGAAGTGGAATTGAGGGTGCAGCCTGACTGGAGAACTGATACTCTTTCGCTAAGTATGCATTTATTACCATTTTAGAAAGGGAATTAAAGGGCCTTTTACTCAGAAGTTAAAATTCAGGAAAAAAAAATCAAAGACTGTTATAAGTATATATTCCTACATAAAGTTTGTCATCGTGGTATTAAAAAACTCAGTAAGGTTTTATGAACATAGGTTATAAAGGGAACACATGAAGCTGAAGCAAAGATTTTTGGCAGCTTTGCTGTACAAAACAAAGCCAAGATATTGATTGATGATGCTGTTACAAGATCTGGACAAAACTACAATAGAGGTGGGAGTGAGAAAGGGAAGGAATTTGTTTAGGGATTTGTGTGTTTGGGATTTGGGATTTTTTTTGTTATTGTTTGGTGGGGGAGGGGTGTTTGTTTAAAAAAACACTGTGGATTGTCTTTCCAGATATTTGATGGTTTGCTGGAGCGTTTTCATGTTATTAATATGCTACTGAACTGAATTAACTTTCACCTTGTTTTTCGACAGTGGCATACCTGCTTAAAACAGAAATATCTAAACATCCTCCTTTCTTGGCTGTGAACAGATCCCCCCCACCACCTTCAAACTGCTAGATTTCTGTGAAAATCAATCACTGTGTGTTTTCAACAATTTAAATGAATGCAGAATGTTAGACTACTTGGTTTCTTCCATTATCAGTCAGGTTTCAAAGTAGTATCTGTGCAGTATTAAAGTTCTGTAAGTTTTTATAAATATATAAGGCAAACATACTATTTATAGCATGGGCAATGCTGACTTTTTACTACTTTCATGGGAGGTTGGCATTTAAGATTTGATCTTACACATCATGCCTCTCTTTACTAGGCTTTATTGCGTTAACTTAGTTACATGGATTTAAAGTAATGATTGTGTGTTGAGAAGCTACTTATTAGTATTTGTCTGTGTGCTCCCAATGACTTTTTGCACAGGCAAACTACATCCACAGTTGTTGATCTGAGGCACTGATGAGGAAGAAGGGATCTGAGAGTTGTGTTCCAGTGTTAGAATAAGGAATAGGGTAGTTCTGAGTTTTGATATTGGAAGTACCACAGAAGGTGGATGAGTATGTTTCAAGAGGCTAGAAATACTTAAAGTTTCCTTAATATGGGTTACTGTGTTTTCCCTGTGTTTCCTGCTTTTACATTCATACGTAATTGTGTTGCCATTTATATCTTCAGTGTAAAACTTCTTGAAGTGTTAACCTCGTCAAAAAAAGAAGTACAGAGTATAACTACACCAAGACTTCATTATGGTGTAATTGGATAGCTTAGAAGTAAACCTTGCTTTTTATAGCTGTTAAAAATAAAGCTTTTCATCTGCATATCATCTACTGGTTCACAAGTTTTTCAAAAGCCTGCTGCACAACAAGACTTATAGCTGGAGGAGCAGCATTTCAGAACCTGCCGCCACTTTCTTTAAGTAGCTGAAGGTATTGAAATGCTTCTCTTTTTTTATTAGAACTGCATTTGTACAGATTTTATTGATGTTTCACGATAAGACCTAAGAAAGAATTTTCTATTTAAGTGCTTCATGTCTATTAAAATCACTTAAGAAGCCATACAATCAAAAAAGAAAATAAGGTGTTTGTTTTGAGGGGGTTTCTCACTTACCCTGCAACAGATTCCATCAAACAGCAGCTTTGTGGTACTATCTCTACAGGAAAAACCTTGGACACTATCAAGCCTAAAAATAACCCAATGCAGTCTGTGATTAACTGGGCTTATCTTCGAGAAAACAGAGCTAAATATGAAGCTATGAAGTGGGCAGGTTACTTTAAAAATTTTGGTTGTACTGGTACTTGTCTTTATATGATAAAACTGTTGAACGTGTAAACATTTCTAATTTTTGCTTTGAGATGATGGAATCTTTCAGTATCAAATCAGTTAAGTATTTGCAATGAAATGACCACGTCAGCATTTCTCAGCATGGTCATGGAAGACCTACATAACTAAGTAGTTCTTGCTACTCAATTAGTATTTTAACTTTACCCTTTGCAATGTTGTTGTTTGGTATGTGGCTGCAGCAAAAAAACCCAGACCTGTTAAATACAAGGGCATATAGTGACAGGACAGGGGGGAATGGCTTTACACTGACAGAGCAGAGTTTTAGATTAGACATTAGGAAAAAATTTCTTCCCTGTGGGGGTGGTGAGACACTGGCACAGGTTGCCCAGAGAAGTTGTGGCTGCCCCATCCCTGGCAGTGTTCAAGGCCAGGCTGGACAGGGCTTTGAGTAACCCAGTCTAGTGGAAGGTGTCCCTGCCCACGGCAGGGGGTTGGAACTGGATGATCTTAAAGGTCCCTTCCAACTCAAACAATTCTGTGATTCTGTGACTGCGACTTGGAAGGGCCTTGATTTGAAGTGTATAAATAAAAGTTGAGAGGAAAAAGTGCAGCCAGAACTTCAATGAGTATTTCTGGAGGAGAGACTACAGCCTGCCTTATCTGATGTACACTCAAAGTACCTGATATGCACCAGGGTCTCTCGCCCATTTCAGATTAAAAAAGATCCCCAGTCCAGCCAGTGGGGCACTTCCTGTATTCATGTATGTTCTCAGATATCTTTCTCTCTGAGGAGTACGAGTTGTAAAAGCCTCAATAGGTGGAGGTCACTGTTAAATTACTAGTGCTGTTCTAAAAATGATAAGGCATATTTAGGACAAAGGAAACTTAAAAAGAATCTTAAAAACTAGCTAACCCCAAGTGAAATTAAAATAGGGTAGTATTTTTTTTTTTTTTTCAACTACACAATAAAAATTTTATATTAAATCCACTGAACACACAATTTTGTTTTACACTCACTATTTCATGTTAATTCTTTGCTGAAGTTACCAGTTCAGAGGAAATTCCAACACTGATGCTTCCCAATGGTAAATTATTTGCCTGCCTTACTCTGCTGCTCTCTTTCAAACATGATTTTTTCACTATTATTTTTGTTTAACTGGCAGATTTATGAAGCATTTGTCATCAGTTAGCAGTTCAGAAATCTGTTTTGTTACAGAGGTCACATTATAACATTAGGCTTACAGGGCATTGCCTTTGGTTCTTGTCCTGGGTTCAGCAGTAGCAGTCATTTTTCTCCTTCTTAGTAGCTGGTGCAGTGCTATGTTTTTGACTTTCAGCCTGGGAACAGTGCTGGTAACACCGATGGTTTTAGTTGTTGCTCAGTAATGTTTACTCTGACCAAGGACTTTCTGAGTCTCATGCTCTGCCAAGGAGGAGGCAAAGATGGGAGGAAGCAGAGACAGGACACCTGACCCAAACTAGCCAAAGAGGTATTCCGTACCACGGCACGTCATGCCCACTATTTAAACTGGGGCAGTTGCCTGGAAGGGTTAGATCACTGCTCAGGTCGGGCTGGGTATCGGTTGGTGGGTGGTGAGTGGCTGTATTCTCTTCCCTTGTTATTTCCCATATCATTATTATTATTGGTGGTAGCAGTAGTGATTTGTGTTATACCTTAGTTACTAAACTGTTCTTATCTCAACCCGTGGGAGTTGCATTCTTTCGATTCTCCTCCTCATCCCTCTTGGAGTGGGGGGAGGAAAGGGTGGGAGTGAGCTAGTGGCTGCGTGGTTCTGGGCTGCCGGCTGGGCTTAAACCACAATAGTTCTAAATAAAATGGAACTAGGTATTTATTTATTTTTTTTTTAATGAGTAGTATCTGTGTTGTCCATCTTGATTTGCAGCATCTACTACAAGTAAAATTTATTGGTGAATGAATAGCAAGTTTTAACACGATGTGCAGAATTAGGTTTAGTGATACCAAATATGTGACATCAGAAAATAAAGGTGTCTTGTGGCAGAAATCCTGTTTTGTTATGCTTTTCCTAGTCAGTGTAGCTGCAGAAAACACTGAATTTGTTCAGATGCTTCACTGTAGATAGTTTCCTGCATTAAGATTTTGGAAGGTCATTCCAGTTAGTTTCACTAAACAACAATGTAAGTACTTAAAAGCATTTGCTGAGAAAAAAAAAAGACTTATTTAAATAAGTAAATAAGTAAAAATAACTGCTTTTAAAACAAAGATATCAATATGTATCATAAAGGTTCTGCTGAGAATTGGATTGAGTAACTGGAGTAAATATAAATCTAGTCTGAATGTGACAGAATAGCAAATTTACAAAACTATACATAGCTGGGATCTGGATGGGGGAACGACTATAGTTAGACTTCTTTTATTATACCCTCTGCATGTAAGCACAGGAAACATTAAATTGTGGGGAGAGAAGAGCACAGAGGGGAAAAGAAGTTTATAGCTCTTCTCTAGGAAGTCTATGAATCAAGATTTTTTGCCTCTGATTCCTGAATTAAATAACAAAATGAAACAAATGTCATACTAAAAAGAGTGTACCAACTTCATTAATACTGCACGTAGCCTCCCTGCCCAGATCAGAAATACCAGGAAGCATACTGCCTAGAAGGGGAGGTCAGTTGCTTCTCTTACACAAGAGTATAAATGAAGAGAAGTGTTGTTACTCATTCCTTTGTTAAAACTGGGACATGGGATGAAGACACACAAAGTTGAGTTCCAGGGGCAAAATATCACTTTGGGGGCGATTCCGTGCCATGTCTTCCACTACCACAAGCTTCTGAAAAGATTATAATTGCTGAAGGATTGAAGTTATAGCCCAGACACTTCAGGGTCTTATAAACTGGAAGCTGAATGCTGAATTTTCCCAAAACATCCTCATGGCAATGTGGATGCGCACAGATGCAACACAGCTTTGGTTTATCTTGCTTCAAAGGCAAACATTAGCAACTGAAGCAGCAAATACCCTTTGAGAGGAAGGTGGATTTATGAGTTTTGTTGACCATCTTTTCAGTTTTCCTATGAGAAGTAAAAGAGGAATAACTCTGGTAACAGTCAGATGGCCAAAAGAGAAGACAAGAGACACCAAATGCATGTCAATACCTGAAATTACATAATAAATGATCTCATATTTACTTTGACACAAATTTTGTTCAAATGTTTTCTCCTTCTTTCTCTTCCTCTCAGAACAAAACCAGGATAGAATACAAAGTGCTGAATCTGTGAGGAAATGACTAGTTGTTATTTACTCCACTGCAAAAACAGCTCTAGAGAACCTCATTTTTCTAGAGAAAGGTGTGAAAGCATTTTCATGCCGCATTTCAAACTCAGTTCCAGTTCACAAGCCTTCTGCATCAATTCTCAGCTAAATGTCATAAATTTCCATTTCAAAATAGCAGTCTGTTTTTTCACTATAATCCTTACTCACCCAGTCTTTCTTCAATCCCTCCAGTTACTGGGGTGAGCTTGCTTGCATTCCACATATGGGCAGAACACAGCACTTGTGTAAATTCAAGCACATGAATAACCCCACTGAGGTAAGACCTTGGTACTGACCCTTCATTGTTATACTCTGCTGTGTTTTCCCATGTCTTCAAATTAATTCAATTACAAAGAAATAAGAGGCAAAAAAAGATTATAAGAGGTGTGTGTGGGGGTTATGTTGGATATACTAGAAACCACATTCCTGAAGCCTTCCTTTTCTTCAGACCACAGAGTTCAGAGGCAGCTTTGAAATTCAAGACTCTTTTGTGGTTTTATATAACTAACTTGTACTTATGCTTAGTAAAATAAGTGCAAACAGAAAATCTCTTAACATCTGATTTTTGTTCTGTTCATCTGCATGTCTTCTTGCTACTGTTAGGAAAAAAAAAAAACAAAACTGCATCATTTTAAAACCACACTCAATGTTTTGACAAAAGCAGACTTTTCCTTTTGAGGAAGTCTTCCTTGCTACCCCCACCCCAACATTAGCCTTTGCCCTATTCTGTAAAAAATCTGTGAGGCTGGATTCTAGCAAAAACTGAAGAGCAGTCATGTTATATTCTAATTTCCCTTCAAACAAGTCTAATGGTTGCACAAAAAGTTCTGACAATTTGTTCTGAGTTTTTACATGCTATACTCAAAATCATCACTGAATAGAGTTAAATATCATAAATATGAATAATCAGGAAAGTCTAAATAATTCTGAAATGCTCATGTAAGATACTTCCAGTTGACGAGTATTCTGACAGTTGCGCATGAAGTGAATTAGCATAAGCATTATGTTACTTGTATTGTAAAGATAATAACGTCTTAATGTAATCAGTGCAGTAATGAAGTGATGAGTCATTGCCCTACGAAAATGACCAAGGAGTCTGGAAAAGGCTAACAAACACTGTAGTCCATAAAGATACCCTGCTCTTAGTATTATCTCAAGAATTAATGAGACCTGCCTCCACTGTTACAAAAGTAGACAGAAAGAGGTGCTCCATCTTCAAGGCTTTCTTTGCACTGAGGCATTTCTTAAAGCTGATCAATTCTACCTTACTGGATTTGGCACAGTTTGGAGCAGTAAAGCATACCAGCAATCAGCAAGTTGACCACTTTGTTGTTCAAGCCCCTCTCTGGTAAATGAAACTAAAAAGGCCAGTGCTTCATTTAGCACTGCTCTTCCATGCCACATGACACTTGTACTACTGCAAGAGGGTGCAGTTCTGGAAAAAATAAAAGGAGAAACAAAAAAAAAAAAAAAAAGCAAAAACCACACTTCACATCTACTAATTAAATTTAATCTCCTTGTGGAACCTGCTTCTGGGGTGAGGTAATTCAAAGGATCCTCAGTTGTACAACAGAATTTTCTCCTAGCTTTTTCCTGTGCAAGACCCATTTTTCTCTGCTTTTTTTGGGTCTGAATGACTAAGCTTTTCTACAGTCTCTTCTCAAGAAAACATTTTTTTCTTCTGTCCAAGGAACAGCTGGGGGAACTAGCCCTTTGTATTTTAAGTTATTCATTAAAGTTAAATGGCTTTATCTTCAAGCTTGTCCTAGGGCAACTATTATAAGTCTAACCTTTCTATAGCTGTGAATCCAGATAAGTTTCTCAATTCTCTCTGCATCTGCCCAGACACAAATGTGTATGCATATGCCTCTGCTATGGTTCACAGTTGCTGCCTCAATACCTACTCTGATTTCCCAAAGCAGCGCTGAACATCAAGGTGAAAAAGGTCACAAGCCATGAAAGGCACTCTCAGAAGGGCAGGGAGAACTTCATCATTTGAGTTTTTTTGGTAAGACAGATAGCATCCCAGACTCAGTAAGATTATTGTACTTATTATAGAGGTAACAAAAACAACCCAAACCCAACCCAAACCAGGCAGTTCCTTACAGAGCAATCCTGCCTAGCACAGTCTTTACCACAGGCACATATCCCACAAACCACCATCCCTTCTCCATCTTGCTGCTTCTTTAACCTTATGATGACTCTCCCAAATCTGGGGTGCTCCTTGGCAACCTCACCTAGAAAGCTTTAGTTTCTCTTTTCAAATCACTCTTCAGATGCTTTCCTAAAGCTCCTTTCCTAAACAAAGAGATGTGAAGCTCATACCTAAAACCCAAGGGACATTTATACAAATCCACTAGGTACAATTAGGCAGATTGAGAATTAAACAACTGCTTGTAACCACTGCTGTAGGTAGTTCCTTGCTTTGGCAGCAAGAACCAGGCATTGTTGGGTTTAATTACTCAAAAATCCCACTACAGGATCATTTTAAAATATATTGTTGCCTCTTCCACAAGATGGAGTGCAGTGATAATATCTGAGGATTTTCAGATTCAATCAATATATCACATCTCCCCTGTGCTAGAAAAAGTCTTTAAAGACTTTAGCCAACCACAGCAATACAAATCAGAAGGCCCAGTGGGGCAGTTTCTCACTGGTTAGTTATGCTTATTTCAGATGCGAGGAGTTCAGAGTGCATCTCAGAAAACAAAGTCCACAAGATTTTTTTTCTTTCTATACTCAAAACGAGGAGTAGAACTTAACAGGGGTTCTCCTGTGATGGGAAATTACAACAAAAAAGTGCTCACACCACTTGTTAAAGAAGATGTAAGAATAAAAAAATAGTTTCACTTGCTCAAGAATTTTTTACGCAGCCAGAAAGAATAGCTTCCTCTCTGCATTTGCCTTGCAGTTCTCAACCATAGGCTTGTGTGTGCAGGGCAGCTGAACTCAATCAAGAGTTGCACTTCTCAAAAGTCAAAGCAGTATCAGTGGATGTAGCAGTTAACATCCTGCTAGCATCTATCACATCAGCTTCATGCTGAAGAGATCCATTTGGGACACTGAGAAGCTTCCTTATTCTCCTGTGTTCCGAGTTCACTGTGAGCAGTTGTGACATGATGTAGTGACCTACTGCTAGCAATAAGGTAAACGCAGTTTGAATAGAAAAAGGAATTGTGAAAGACATCCTGGCTCAGACATCAAGTTCTGTAACACAATACAGAGTTTTCCTATCAGTTTGTATCCTTGAACATCCATTTAATATGATAAAGTGAGTCTTGCCAATAATGTATGTTTTAATTATGAAAATAAAACAACTAGCTAAAAGCACAATAAGCTACCCTGAACCACATAGATTTTGGTATGAGATTATGGTCTACTGCCTTGAACATCTCGGCATTAGTAGTCACCCTATCCTAGGCTGCAGGTGATACAGCTGCTACATACTGTGTGACTTCAGCATTGCAACTATACCCTATTTGGCAAATCTTCCTCCTTACTGTGTTAGCAATGTGGGCATTAGCTTAGTCCTTAAAAATCAGCCACTATAAATTTATATAATTGAGACAGTGACTCTGAAATCTTTTATGTTAATTTTCCCTTTATGTACACAAGGACTGCAATACTACCACATATACTTGACCCTGCTGAGGTCAAGTCTGGAGTACTGTGTCTGGTTCTAGGCTCCTCAGTACAAGAAAGACAAGGAGCTACCTGAGAGGGTCCAGTGGAGGGCTGCAAGAATGATCAGGGGTTTGAAGCATCTCTCTCATGATGGTAGATTGCTGGAGCTGGGCCTGTTTAGTCTGGAGAAGACTGAGAGGGGATCTCATTCATTAATGCGTATAAGTGTCTCAAAGGCAGGTGCCAAGAGAATGGTGCCAGACTCTTCAGTGGTGCCCAGCAACATGATGAGGAGCAATGGCCATAAACTAAAACACAAGAAGTTTCACCTCAACATTAAACAGGGGAAGTTTAGATTGGATATAAGGAGGAAATTCTTTCCTGTTAGGGTGGTGAGGCACTGGAATGGGTTGCCCAGGGAGGTTGTGAATGCTCCATCCCTGGCAGTGTTCAAGGCCAGGTTGGACGAGGCCTTGGGTGACATGGTTTAACGTGAGGTGTCCCTGCCCATGGCAGGGGGTTTGGAACTAGATGATCTTAAGGTCCTTTCCAACACTAACTATTCTATGATTCTATAAGGAAGCACTTCCTTCACGTTGAGGATGGCAGAGCACAGGCTGCCCAGAGGGGCGTGGAGTCTCCATCTCCAGAGACATTCAAAACCTGCTTGGACACTTTCCTGTGTAACCTGCGGCAGGTGACCCTGCCTTGGAAGTGGGGTTGGCCTAAATGATCTCCAAAGGCCTTCCAACCCTGGGTGGGTGATATTTTCTATATTTTTCTATGATATTTTAGACCCAGCCCAGTAGAAGACTGGGAGCTCTGCGTTTGTTGCTCCTGCCCTCAGCGTTTCTTTTAGCTGGCTCTACAGAAGCGGCGTCTCCAGCTGTACAGGCACAGCCGCTGGACGCTTGGCGGTGGGACACTAACGGGAGCGGGGCAAGGGAGGGGAGGGAATGGGAGGGGGTCGAGCCTCGCCGCCCCAGCGCAGGGCACGGGACTCGCGGGGGCAGGCGCACCTACCCACCCATCCACCCACCCACCGCTCCGGTGCGGGGGCCGCCGGAGCCGCTCGGCCGGAGCGTGCGCGCGTCCCCGGGTGGGCGGAGCCGTAGTCGCGGCGCGGGCGGCGCTCGGCGGCGCTGTAGCGGGCGGGACGGGTGGGCGCGGGGGAGGTTGCTGGTAGGCTGCCGGTAGGCAGGCAGGGCAAAGCAAGGAAGGGCACGGCACGGCATAGAAAGGCAAGGCGGTGCTGGTTTGCCTGCCTGCTCCTGGGTCCGGCGGTTCCGCGGCGTTGCCTGTGCGGCAGAGCCGCCACCGAAGCGAATGGGGAGGTGGCGCTGAGCGAACTGCCCTCCGCGGGGCTCGGCAGCAGAGGGCAGCGGCGCGGCGGGCTAGCAATGCCCCTCGCTCTCCTGCTTGCGCTGACCTTCTTCCTCCTTTTCCCGCTCCCGGCTTTGAAGCTTTTGTTTTCCCCGGCCGCTGCGATGGCAGGAAACTTCCCGGAGAGAGCTCAGGCCGGGCTTGTGCTGCGCTGGGCTCCGCGGGGCACCGGCCACGCCGTGAGGTGAGGAGAGGCATTGCGCCGTAGTTGGCGCTGGATCCGCCGGCGGCAGTTCGGCGAGGCTGGGCTGCGGCTGCCCCTGTTCCACAGGGGGCGGCAGTCTGGGCGGCCAGAGAAGGCAGAGTTGCAGCAGAGACCGCGAAGAGCCGCGCACGGTTGTGCCGGTTCCTCTAGCCGGGGTCCCACGGCCGGGAGGGGAGCACCGGGGGTTCCTGCCCGCGGGCTGGGTCGCTTAGGAGATCGGCGCCCTGAGGAGGCCCAGAACTGCCGGGCGCCCCCTCTCCCAGAGCCGTTGGTGGGTAACGGTCGGCGGCGTGCGGGCTCGGCGGCGTCTGAGGGGAGGCGGCAGGCGGGTGCTTCTCCGGGGCAGAGCGGGGCCCGGGGGCGGGACCGCTGCCAGCCCCGGGCGGGAGTTCTCAGCCGTGTCCTGTGGCCGTGCGGGCACCGGTGGGGACTTTCCTCCGGTGGTGGGGCCGCCCTTCCGGCTTGGGCTCCATCCCTGAGAGTTGGCGTCTCTCGCTCTCCGAAGCTCTCGGGCTGGATGCCGCCGCGCGGGTCACCGCGGGGTGGAGGCGGCCCTTCTCTCCCTGCGGCGGGATGGTTCGGTCGGGCACGGCGGGGCTGGCGGACCTGCTCCTCAGACTGCTGGTCGTGCAAAACTTGATCGCGGAGAACCCGCCGGTGTCTGGTGCGGTGTGCGTGTTTCCCTTCATGTGGGGAGTCGCTCCTGGGCAAAGAGAACTGTCTCACTTCAAAAATACCAGTTGTTCTTTACCTGCTTAAGTAAATACGTAATTTTTACGTGGATGTTCCACACAGTTTACATCATACTTGATTTTTAGCAGTCAGCTGATACAGTGCAGCTTAATATATAACAAAGCATATCGTAAAGTTTTCCTTGTAAATAAGTAAAAACACTTCCAAGAAAACGGTGGATTTGCATAAAGATACAGGTAGCATGCATATTTTAAATAGTCAGAGCTGGGAATAGCTGGCAAGTTTGATCCATGCCCAGGAGGGTTGTTAAACAAAATTGTTTGTCCTCACTGAAAACATGAATGTTTAAGTAGTGGCAAATGTGTTTTGCTGAATGGATTTTCTGTGGGACATCTTATGCATTCTGTCATTAGAGCAAAGGCAGCAGAGGTATCTGGTTATGAAAGGGGCAGTTTTAAACAGACCAATTCTAGATATCTGAAATCATAAAGAGATTTCAAAGAGTATTGATAACACACAATAGCTGTGTATTGACAGTTGTCACATGTGTTTTTACTGTTTTTGCACAGTTATCTATTGTGAAAAATGTACTTGCCAGCATTAGCTGGAGCTATGTTTTCAGGATAACGTAATAGATTCACTAGTAATTATGTTTAGTCTACAGAAGCAGATTTGTTGATGACTAGTAATTAGAATAATTGTTTCTAAATAACTCTCATTTTAAATATTTACTGCGATGATGATCTGCCCTCAGAAACCCAGCTTCTTATGCGATTTTGTGACACTCCTTTATTAGAGTAGCATTCCTGTAAAAGCATATGCTAAATGTATAGAACTTTGTTTTTTAAACTGAGAAAATAAATGAGACTGGATTAGTAGATGATGTGCAAGGTCTGCCTGCTCAGAGGAAATGGGAAGAAGGCAAGATGAGCTCTGCTAATTTGTAGTTTTCTTCTTGTATACTACAATGTGTAGATGACTTTTGTCGGATGGTGCTAACCAGGGTCTGCTTGTATGCTTCATTGCATGCACTACTTTTAAAGTCTTCCTCGAAGAAGCCTGGAGAGGCTATGGCTACTTCTCTACCAGTTAATTAAATGTACCCAATACTCTTTTCTGATCCTGAAGCTAGCTGGCATGGTTTAGCCCTTGTCTTGGCTGCTAAACTTTCCTGCCTTCAAGAACAGGATAGCTGAATACAAGCTACTGGTTGGGACTGGCTTCTGGGTAGTGTTAAATCCAAAATCATGCCCCAGAATTGCATAGAAGAGCTGTAGCTGGCCTGGGTTAGAAGGATGCTGTGTCTGTCAGTTCAGCAGTCTTCATGACTTGAGTTCCATTTCTCACGAGTGGTTCCTGGCATAGCTGGATTTACTAGTGGAGGCATAGACTATCGGCAGTGTTATAAGGAGCCTCTCTTAACTCTGCTCAATCATAGTGATCTAATTTCCCTGCATTGAGGATCTCTGGCACTATAAAAAGCTGCTTTTCATAGCTGGCTGCTTGGAACTGTCAGGGCTGCTTTCTTCTGCACTTGTGCAGGGGGATGAAGAGGGAGTAGGTGGAGCTTTGGTGGCTTTCCCATTTGCCCATAAGGGAGGGGTAAACAGATCAGGGAAAGGCTTGTTCTGCTTATCCAGAAATGTACTCCCAGAGCAGTGCATGTCTGTAAGCAGTCCTGATGGCTAGATGTGAACATGTCCATGGCCTGCATTCTCATGCTGTTTTGCTGCTTTCCTCCTTATTTTACTACAAGTAGCAACTTGGACAGGGCAAGTTTTGTTGTTTCGTTTTTGTTTTTTGTTTTGTTTTGATGCTCTGAAGAATATTTACTTCCAGGTGCCTGGAGAGATTACTGGCCTGTTAAAATCGTTGTGGACTCTCCCTATGCTTGTGGTCATCTTCTGTCACTGAAATCATGAAGTTACATAGGCTTTGTTCATAACGTTTCTGGAAATGTGCGTTTTGGTTCATGTTTTTGCAGCATCGAATTGTTTGGTTCAAGAATGGACCTATGCATGTGCGTTGTATTTTACACTCTGCCTGCTTTTTGAGTATTGTTATGTGTAGTCTCATAAATAAATTTCAAAGCAATTCTAAAGGATGTCAGACTTGCTTGTCACAAATGAGGAAAGTGAGGAAACAGGAAGTATGACTTTATCTAAGGCATACTGGAGTCTCAGATTGGAAAATGATCACTCAGGTTACACTACCTCTCATAGACATAAAAAATACTTTAATACAATGATGTATAATTTTTTTCCTCTATATTTGCTAACCTGACCAGTAGTCCAGTTTGAACTAGATAGGACGATTGTTTAGTCGCCTCATTTCCACTAGAAGATCATGCTTAGATACTTACCCAAATGTTATGTATGTTGTGGGACTTGGTAAATGCTTTACTTTCCAAACAGGCAGCTTGTTTTAGTGACATCTGAAATGTCAGTTTTTTTTGAGTGAAACCTCATAAAATACAAATCTTAATACTGAGACATTTCAATGCATACTGTAGGAAAAAGGTGAGCTATTCTTCTGCCTCTGTGAAAAAACACTGAGTCAGTAAGGTGTATTTATACTTAGGCACATGTTGAAATGTCTGAGGAGCCCTACTGGTTTGAATGGCGCTTAGAGAAATCTCTTCTATTACTGTAACCTAATTTACTTCAATCTAGATGTATATGATACACACGTTGTATTTGAAAGAGTATTGTCAAGACGACATAATAACAAAAGTGTTCTGAAATGTAAAGCTTTGAAGTGGGGACTATGCGGCCTTTGGGAGCTGTGGTTTATACTATCTAGGATCTGATTTTTTTCAGAGCACTTCGCATCTTAAATTGGGCAACAAAAATGAGTGGATGGTTATGATTTTTGCATCAGGTTAAAACTTAAACAGGGGAAGTTTAGGTTGGATATAAGAAAGAAATTCTTTCCTTTTAGGGTGGTGAGGCATTGGAATGGGTTGCCCAGGGAGGTTGTGAATGCTCCATCCCTGGCAGTGTTCAAGGCTAGGTTGGATGAAACCTTGGGTGGCATGGTTTAGTGTGAAG